ATAACAAGAATTTTTCTTTACACTGTTCTAACCCTCTGCACTCTGACCCATGTAAGATAAAATAGATTTATTACTAAAGCGTCCTCGATTTATATTAAAAATATTGAGTATACATATCTGTGGACACGTTCACTTTTGTAGTTATTTTTTATGCGACCATTAAGTAAAAAATTAGCAGGAGTCATCATTCTTTAATAACCTACATTCCAGTCCATTCAGTTATTATGACTTAGAAAAGGGTGACTAAGCACAGTCAGCCATGGAATCTGCCTTCATTATTCTTAAGAAAAATGATTGAGGTAGTGTTTATCTGTTTTTTTTTTTTTTTTTTAAAAACATTTTTTTTTTTTTAGAAAAGGACATTTTTTTCTTTAAGCCTGTTTGTCGTGGTCGTATATGTTACATACTATATTAAGTTCTACTTGTTAAAGCAGTAGGCCATGACGTTTTATGTAAATCCCTGTTTGCCATTTAATTCGCGAACTTCTTTTTTGATGATAAAGAGCATTCAATGTCACCAAAACATGTTTCGTTTTTCCTTATAGTGCCCCTTCTTTGTTGATGCCACTTCCCGGAAACTAAAGAAATTGCCTTCAAATGGACAAATATTGCTGGTGTTAACAGGAATTGCAGCTGACAAGTCCTCTGATAAATTACTGTTCCACCGGAGCGTAACAACCGTGGAGTAAATTTCATAAACTTGTAGAATGCCTAATTGCTAATATTTAAATTGTAATGATATCTTTAAGTGGTTGGGTCTTCTGTGTAGCTAAGGTGTAAAAGTGCCTCATACCACATGGTTAAGAGTGTTTGGCGGACGGCGCGCGGTGCCTCACGCCTGTAATCCCCACGCACTTTGAGCTGAGGTGGCGTCACGGACGGTCAGGAGATCGAGGCCATCCTGGCTAACACAGTTGAAACTCCATCTCTATAAAAGTGCCAAAAAATTAGCGAGCATCGGTGGCGGCACGTGTATCCCACCTACTTGCGAGGCTGGCAGGAGAATGAGCGTGAAGCCCGGAGGAGCAGAGCTTGCGGTGAGCCAAGATCACACCACGTGACACTCTCGTACCTGGGGTGAGCAGAGCGAGAACTATCTCAAAAAAAAAAGAGTGTTTGGTTAACCAATTCTGCCTGACTTCCTGGAGCTGTAATTTCAGGATCCTAACCTTAATTGAGCTTTCTGTCCTTTCTGGTCATAGATCCTCGGCTGATATATCAGTGCTTTCAGAGGAGAACTCGAACATGACAGCATGAGAATAAACCTTTAGTGTAAGTTTTTGGAGTCCTTAAAAGATAAATTATGATTCACATTTATTAATAAAAAGGGATTTTGATGGTTCTTTCCATGGCGATTCCTTGTATTTTAGTGTGTGTGCGTGTGGTTTGTGTGTTTGTTGATGTTTAGGAGAAAAAAAACTTGAATAGAATAAACAATATGGTATGTAGTGATGTTTATAATAGATACTCTTAAAGTATATCTACTTCAGAAAACCATTAATAATAGCAACTGGTTTAGGCCAGGAAGTGGCTCATGCCTGTAATCCCAGCAGTTGAAGGCCGAGGAAGGCGGATCCACCGAAGGTCTGAGTTTGAGACACACCCTGGCCAAACATGGCCAATAAACCCTGTCTCTACTAAAAATAACGAAAATTAGCCGAGTGTGGTGGTGCACACCTGTCAGTCCAGCAGGTACTCAGGAGGCTGAGGCAGGAGAATCGCTTTGAACCCAGAGGTGAGGTGCAGTGAGCTGAGATTGTGCCACTAACTCCAGGCCTGGGTTGACAGAGCAAGCGACATTCCATCTTCAGAAAAAAAAAAAAAAAAAGCTACCTGTTTTTAGAAAATATCATGATAGGATCAGACACAGTTTGCCTTCATACCTGTAATCCCAGCCTTTTGGGAGGACTGATCTGGGCAGATCACCTGAGGTCAGGAGTTCGAGACCAGCCTCGCCAACATGGTGAAACCCCATCTCTACTAAAAATACAAAAAAGTTAGCCTGGCATGGTGACACGTGCCTGTAGTCCTAGCTACTCAGGAGGCTGAGGCACAAGAATCGCTTGAACTCAGGGAGACAGAGGTTGCAGTGAGCCAAGATCATAAAAAAAAAAAGAAAAGATAGGTACTGAATGGGGGATTATCTAATAGAAGGGAAATAAGATTACTTCTTATAGTTCTGGAAATTACAAGGAGTTAAATGTACTTGAGAATTACTTATTTTCTAAAATTTAGGGCATGCCAGGCACAGTGGCTCATGCCCGTAATTCCAGCACTTTGAGAGTCCAAAATGGGAGGACGGCTTGAGCCCAGGAGTTTGAGACCAACCTGGGCAACATAGTGAGACCTTGTCTCTACAAAAAAAAAAAAAAAAATTAGCCAGGTGTGGTGATGCACACCTGTGGTCCCAGCTACTCGAGAGGCTGAGGTGGGAGGATTGCTTGAGCCTGGGAGGTGGAGGCTGCAATGAGCCCTAATTGTGCCACCGTACCCTAGCCTGGGCAGCAAGCAAGACTCCATCTCAATCAATCAATAAAAATAAAATAAAACAAAATTTGGGGCAAATTCCAAATCAGTGTTGTTTCCTTTGAAGATAGGACATTCCCTTTCATGGGAAGCTTGCATGACAAGTTAAATTCCCTTGTGAAATGAGAGCTGTGGTTACTCTGATTTATTACACTGCTCAACGAGGCTTGAAGTATTAGCAGTACAGCAATCTGTGGACTGTAAAGGCAGCAACTAGTCTTTTTTTTTTTTGAAACAGAGTTTTATTCTTGTCAGCCAGGCTGGAGTGCAATGGCATGATCTTGGCTCACTGCAGCCAATACCTCTCGGGTTCAAGCGATTCTTCTGTCTCAGCCTCTTGAGTAGCTGGGATTACAGGTACCTGCCCCCATGCCTGGCTAATTTTCATATTTTTAGTAGAGACAGGGTTTCACCATGTTGGCCAGGCTGGTCTCAAACTCCTGACCTCAGGTGATCTGCCCACCTCGGCTTCCCACAGTGCTGGGATTGCAGGCGTGAGCCACCACACTTGGCCAGTCTTTTTCTTTTCAAGATTTTTTTTTTCTATTACTGTTGCAGTACCTGGTACCATTATTATTTGTTATTTTTTAGCTATTCACTCATGATCTAGAAATAACACATTCTAGAAGAACATTATTAAAAACAACTTGATTAAGGCATAGTCACTGCTACATATTATAAAGCAGGTACAAGGTACTTTACATTCACAGAGGTATAATGTAGTACTGTCTTACATCTATAATACTAGAGGGTACAATTAAAAAGACGTTATATAAGATTTGATTCTACTTTTCCAGTAGAGAGCCCAAAGGTTGGTATGACACAGCTCTCATACAGAAATGCACCTTCTTAGCTAGGATTTTCTTTCAGTAGTAGCATGGTTATAGGTACTCACTTTTCTTCATGAACATCAGCTAAAAATAATTTTAAAACAAACAAATGAAACATTGGATTCCTACAAAGATGACCAAGTGGGGGTAAGCAGGACTCAACCAAACTCATATTTTACCAGATCCCTCGTGTTTGAGCAGTGAGAGCTCTGTGAAAGAAAGGGAATGGCAAGCAGCACTTCAAAACTTGGGCCACAACCAAAACACAGGATCATTTCAAACAGAAGCAGTAACCAAACAATGCTCACTTAGTATGTTCAAGGATGCCAACATCAATATTCAGTCATCTGCAGACTCATCCAGTAAGAATGGGTGATCAGTTACTGTACTTGGCTTGCGTTAAACTGAATCACCACTCTACAAGATTTTCAAGATTGGCTGTAATTTGATGAGAAAGATGAAGAGAGGGGTTTATGTGCACATGTGGTTACCATCTCTGATAGTAAGACTTAGAGTACAAGGGAGTATAAAATGATCATTCGAGAGTCATATATGTAAAAACCGAAAGTTATATTTGTGGTTAAATCCTACTGTAAACGTGATGTGTAGGGTTTAGATAACCCATGGGTCAGAGTATGTTCTCGAAAGCTTAACTGTGCATGCTATGAAATGTGTATACTCTAATGAGAATTTTCTTCTGGGAACAATACCACATTCTATCTTTACATATTGAATGCTCAGACTTGGGACATCCTTCAGCAATCTTTTATTTCCACCCTTCTGCTAGGTTGGGGAGAGATAGTGGGTAGGTATGGTAGGAACTGTATTGCTTAATCATCTCTAAAAAAGGGAAGCCCACCTCTTATAAAAATATTCAACCTCTTTTAACTGTTAGGTTCTAGAAATGTTTCCTTGTGTTTCATCCAAGCTTTTAGAATGTAATAGCCATTTCTTCCTCAGTATCAGATACACAGTGGGAGTAACAGAGTGGGAGTAACAGAGATAAACAGAGTAACAGTGTGGGAGTAACAGAGATAAACCCGAGGGGAACTTTTGACTTGTGAGGTTTTTATTTGCACCTAGCAATGTTTTTTCATCAACACTTGGGCCAAGACAAGTTTGGAGTAAAGAGCACATAGTTTAACATGAGGGTTCTTTGTGTAATGTGGTATTAATGACCATAATATGTATTCCTGTAACAGACAATAGGAAAAGACAGTGGTGCCACCAATATGTAAGCAGTACCTTAGTCCTGCTTTTTCAATACTTTTTTTTTTTTTTTTTTGAGACAGTGTTATGTTCTGTCATCCAGCCTGGAGTGCGGTGGTGCAGTCATAGCTCACAGCAGCTTCCAGCTCCTGGACTCAAGCAGCCTCAGCCTCCCTCCCAAGTAGCTAGAACTGTAGATGTGCACCATCACTATGGGGTCTTGCTCTGTTGCCCAGGCTAGTCTTGAACTCCTGGCCTCAAGCAATCTTTCTAGCTCAGCCTCCCAAAATGCTGGGATTACAAGTGTGAGCCACCATGGCCAACCAAATTTCAGTACTTTTTAAAAAAAGTTCCAGATTGTTGTTATTTTCATTTGCCTGCTTTCATTCCTATCTTAATTCTAAGGTCTTCCAAGTAGAGTTACCAACTGTGTTCATTTTAGGAGAATAGATTTTATTTTCCTAAATGGTATGATATCTTTTTTATACTCATTAAAAATACATTGATTTGACTTTGTTAAAGTACATTAGTATCTTAGAATTTATGAAGAATCTTATTGTGTTCAGAGCTGTGGGTTGCTTAGGTTACTGAATGACAGAGTTTAATAATATTTCCTTTTTTCCATCTCCACAGTTTAAGCCATAAATTAAAGTAAATGAGGAAAATGTTCTTTATAAATAAATGGCACATTTTTATTGAAGTTTTAGCAAAAAAGTGGATTCTTTTGAGATTTTTTAGAGCCTAAAAAGTGACAGGAGAGGGAAACTTATGAGTATGTAGACATTAACCAAAAAGCTAACCATGAAATAATATGCTTAATATGCCTTCTGATAGACAAGCTTCCATTGACTGTGACTAATTTATTTGCCAACAAATTCCCTTTGTAAACCCACCCATTTTTATTTCCTTTTAACCCTTTCACCCAGCTTACATTTCCATTGGAAAAGTTTACAATTCATCAGTAAGTGTAGTTTGCTGTGGTGATTAAAATACACAAACAAAGCAATACTTGTCAATTTCACAGATATTTCAAAGCAATGCATTAAAAATTTAGGCTGTGATAAAAATGGCTACTTATTACCTCTACATTTACAGAAATAATACAGATATAATCAGTGATACTACTAATTTAAAATTCTGGGGTGATTTTTAAAAGTTTTACATCTTCTATCAGTTTGTGAAATTGACTTGAGTTTTACTAGTGGTATGTCTTACAAATATAAATTACAGGAAATCTGAATGCTGTTCCTCTCTTATTAGATGAATTCCTTGGTGTTGATGAATTATGGTGATGAATTGGTTAACTATCTCAGGTTAGGAGGAAAAATCAGCTTGTATTGTTTTTGGTGCTTTTTTTTCATCTTCTATATCCAAGTATATATCTTGTTACAAGCACAGTATATTTTATTTTTTTAATTTATTTTTATTTATTTATTTATTTATTTATTTATTTATTTATTTATTTATTTTTGAGACAGAGTTTCGCTCTTGTTGCCCCAGCTGGAGTGCAATGGTGCAATCTCGGCTCACTGCAATCTGCCCCCCGGGTTCAAGCGATTCTCCTCCCTCAGCCTCCCAAGTAGCTGGGATTACAGGCACCTGCCACCACACCCAGCTAATTTTTTGTATTTTTAGTAGAGATGGGGTTTTACCATGTTGGCCATGCTCAAACTCCAGACCTCAGGTGACCCACCCGCCTTGGCCTCCCAAAGTGCAAGGATTACAGGCGTGAGCCACCGTGCCCAGCCCAAGCACAGTATATTTTAAGCCTGCATTATTTTATATACCAATTTAAGCATTGGATTTTGGTTATTTTAATTTACTTAGTTTTAACCTCCAGAAATGGCAGTCTTTTTTTTTTTTTAATAATAAATGATGTTGGTTGGTATAGCTATATATATTTTTTTTAATTTTTATTTTTGAGACAGTCTCTCTCTCTGTCCCCCAGGCTGGAGTGCAGTGGTGAGATCTTGGCTCACTGCAACCTCCACCTCCCAGGTTCAAACAATTCTTGTGCCTCAGCCTTCCAAGTAGCTGGGATTACAGGCATGTGCCTCCATGCCCAGCTAATTTTTCTGTATTTTTAGTAGAGATGGGGTTTCTCCATGTTGGCCAGGCTCATCTTGAACTCCTCCTGGCTTCAAGTGATAACGCCCGCCTGGGCCTTCCAAAGTGCTGGGATTACAGGTGTGAGCCACTGTGCCTGGCCTTGGCATAACTATATTTACATTTGGTTTATCTCTAGTTTTTAATTACCTGGTATAGCCTAGTGGATTTTATGGTAGACCTTCAGGTGCTATTAGAAAACTGAGATCATCTGCATCCTGACGCTCTACCTGAGTGATAACATTACTTTGATAATAAAGAATATAGAAACCTTTTAAGAATCACAGGCCTTGGGCCGGGCGCTGTAGCTCACGCCTGTAATCCCAGTACTTTGGGAGGCCTAGGCAGGTGGATCACCTGAGGTCAGGAGTTTGAGACTAGCCTAGCCAATGTGGTGAAACCCCGTCTCTACTAAAAATACAAAAATTAGCCAGGCGTGGTGGCAGGCGCCTGTAATCCCAGCTACTTGGGAGGCTGAGGCAGGAGAATCGCTTGAACCCAGGAGGTGGAGGTTGCAGTGAGCTGAGATCGCACCATTGCACTCCAGCCTGGGTGACAAGAACAAAACTCTGTCTCAAAAAAGAAAAAAAAAAAAGAATCACAGGCCTAAATTTTTATCAGTATCTTAACTGAGTCTGTTTAATTATTTATGAGAAATACATAAGTACCCACATTATTTAACCAGAATATCAAAATAAACAATTCTAGGACACATGTTTCTCAGGATCTCCTGAGAACTGTGTCATGGGCAAAAGAAATTTTATTAAAAAATAAAAAATATGCCAGGCACAGTGGCTCACGCCTGTAATCCCAGCACTTTGGGAGGCCGAGGCAGGCGGATCACCTGAGGTCAGGAGTTCGAGACCAGCCTAGCCAACATGGTGAAACCCCGTCTCTACTAAAAATACAAAATTAGCCGGGTGTGGTGGTGCATACCTGTAATGCCAGCTACTCAGAAGGCTGAGGCAAGAGAATTGCTTGAAACTGGGAGGCGGAGGTTGCAGTGAGCCGAGATCACGCCATTGCACTCCAGCCTGGGCAACAAGAACGAACTCCATCTCAAAAAAAAAAAAAAAAAAAAAAAATTCCATCAGTTACTCCATTCTCAGAGTAGCATAATGTAAACTAGAGTCTAAATTAAAAAAAAAAAAAAAAAAAAAAAAAAAAAAATTCCATCAGTTACTCCATTCTCAGAGTAGCATAATGTAAACTAGAGTCTAAATTATAACTTCCAAAACTTTGTTATAATAGAGTTGGTATTTATTCAAATCCTTTTGAATTTTAATAAATAAAAATAAGTGCTCATTGATGCAGTGAGACAGCTAATTTGTAGAAAAGCTCAAGTGCTTAGAGACTTTTTTTTCTGTGAGATTCAGCTTATTAGAGAGTATGGGGAGGAGCTGCTTTACAGTGTGCCCCACCTAGAATGCTTTGCAAATAAATAGAACCTTTTCAAACATTGTCATCAAAGCTCCCTTCAAATTAATGCCTTCCTTTACTTGAGCAAGACCACATAGTATCTAAGGTATTCTTAAAGTGCCTGGCTGAACCAAGTGTTGTCCATCCTGAATATTAGATGTAGGATTTTTCATAATACTTCATTGGTACCTCTGATTTTTTTTTTAACCAGGTAACATGTTTTATCTTTAAAGGGCCACTATGTTAATATGCCTCTCTTCAAGAACCTCTAACCCTATTTCTTATTGTATTGTCTGCTTGGTTGGCTAGCTGTGGGAACAAAAAGTCTTGAGAGAAGTGCTTTTAGCCAGCTGTAGGATCTAGAGCTAGGGGAGATCCCACACTAAAAGCATGAGCAAATGAAAATGTTACTGGCAGGTACTTTCAGTTTGATTTCTGTTTATTTCAGTATCACTAGACCTCAGTGTGGAAACAAATGTGTAGTTCGATAGGGTTTAAACTATAAACATTATTAAGTAATGTCAAGTCAGTGGAGAAAAGTCTGTAAAATTATGCTTGCAGTTTAATATGCTGTGCATTATATGGTTTTCAGTTCAGCATTCCTATTTTTGGGTGGTATTTTTTCTTTCAGGAGAAAGCTTTGCAGAATTCAGATCTGCAGGAACTGATGATGGTTTCACCGATTTTAAAACAGCCGATAGTGTATCACCACTAGAGCCACCGACAAAAGACAAAACTTTTCCACCATCCTTCTCCTCAGGAACTATACAACAGAAACAACAAACACAAGTGAAAAATCCTCTGAACTTAGCAGACCTAGATATGTTTTCCTCAGTTAATTGCAGCAGCGAGAAACCATTGTCTTTTTCAGCTGCATTTAGCACATCAAAATCAGTTTCCACACCACAGTCAACAGGTTCTGCTGCTGCTACGACAGCATTGGCATCAACGAAAACTTCTAGTTTGGCTGATGAGTTTGGAGAATTCAACCTTTTTGGGGAATATTCTGGTCTACCACCTGTTGGGGAGCAGGATGACTTTGCAGATTTTATGGCTTTCAGTAATAGCTCTATTTCATCTGAGCAAAAGCCAGATGACAAATATGATGCCCTTAAAGAGGAAGCCAGTCCTGTTCCTCTAACCAGCAACATGGGCAGCACAGTGAAGGGTGGACAAAACCTAACTGCTGTGTCTACCAAGTATGATGTCTTCAGACAACTTTCTCTGGAAGGGTCTGGACTAGGTGTTGAAGACCTAAAAGATAACACTCCTTCAGGAAAAAGTGATGATGATTTTGCTGACTTCCACTCCAGTAAATTTTCTTCCATAAACTCGGACAAATCCCTGGGAGAGAAAGCAGTGGCTTTCAGACACACCAAAGAAGACTCTGCATCAGTGAAGTCCTTGGATCTCCCTTCCATTGGTGGCAGCAGTGTCGGCAAGGAGGACTCTGAAGATGCACTCTCTGTTCAGTTTGACATGAAATTGGCTGATGTGGGAGGAGATCTTAAGCATGTCATGTCTGATAGCTCTTTGGATTTACCAACAGTTAGTGGCCAGCATCCTCCTGCTGCAGGTGAGGAATTGGTGAGATTACTCTGGTGATGGTGTTGTAGATTTCAAAGATGATTCTGCGGGTGTTGATTTACATGAGTAAGGCTCTGGCCCTTTATCTTTATGGATCTCTAATAATCAACCTCTTTGTTGCCAGTCTCCTTAAAGCAGTATTAAATTTGATTCTATGGATACTTGCATATATGGATACTGTGGCTACTGTGGAACTTAGATTGGGTAGCTAAAATATTTTTATTTTTGAAATCTAGCACCAGCTTGGTGTTAGAGGCACATAAAAACTCACTGCTAAGTGAACCCCACATTGCCAGAAATTTGATAAGGACTTTTGCAGTGCCAGCAGTGTTTCTCCATTTCTGTGAGTAAAATCATTGTTTCCCTCTCCTTTTTTCTTCTCTTGGGTATACACAGCAACTGCCAGTATAGTATTCTGTTGGATTTACAGAAACTAACTCTCGTTAGGCCAAGAAAGTAAAAATTTCTAACCACTTGTAGTGCAGTTTGCCACATCCCTTTAAGAGAAGAAGAGAGAAAGAGTTTATATATGAATGTTCTTTATGTCAGGGTCTGGCAAAGAGGAGGGCGTGTGTTGTCAGTGGAATCCAGGAGCTGTTTTCAGTGTTAACTCTGTTACTAGAAATATTAAGTTGTAACAAATCTGTAGATATTAGAATAGGGTAACTGCTAACTTTCTGATAAAATGTTTGAAAATATCGTATTAGGGAGCCCTCTGAATTCTGTGTGGATTTACATGTAGCAATTTACTCTCTAGTTCAACTTCTGTCATAAAAACTAGATTCCCAAGTGTCCTGGTTTTTGTTTTGTTTTGTTTTTTGATATGTATATAGAAAGATAAACCTATTTTGTGGCCTTTTAATAGTGAGAAATATCTCAGTATCACTGTATTATTCTAGAAAATGTATTATGCATATGAAAGGTTTGGTTTTGTCTAACTAGGGAGGGACACATGAGACACTTCCAAGTTTACAGATTCAGGCAGAAATTGTCAAGTCCTATAGCTTTTGCATATGTCAAATTTGCAAGTCGGAAAACAACATTGCATCCATCCTTTTGGCTCTGGAAATGTAGGTATTCCTAAACAGGGTGCTGAATCAGGAGCAAGTTAGCAGAGACATTGCATATTTCATGTTGCTACTTGCTAAGGTATTTTTCAAATGCAGTGGGCGGTCTGAAGAGCTCCTGTGCCCTTGACTGTCTACTTTCTTTTTTTTTCCTTTTTTTGTACTTTTCCTCAGAAATTTTCTTATTTTTTTTTTTGCTGCTGTTTGATAGAGTGATGTGGGTTTTTGTTTTGTTTTGTTTTGTTTTGTTTTTTTGTATGAGCTGCTTGAACCACAGCAGTTGGTTGCAAAGTGCTCTGTTTTCTGAACAATACTGGATTTTTATTTAAAAATCTCATAACATGTATACTAGCCTTTTGGACTCTGAAGCTACTAATTAGAAACTATTTTTCTGAAAGTGAATCTATATTCTTTCACAGTGCCAAGCTAGATGTCTTTATGAAATGAGTCTAATCCAGGTTTGGGGTGTCTTTTTTCCCCCCATTTTATTTGGAGGTTGGTTTTTTGACCAAGCTTGTTCTTATTGACCTGTTAAAATAATCTCTTCTGTGCTCATGTTCTTTTATGTATGTTTGGAATATCCCCAGCTTGGAGCCTGTAATGTTCAAGCTAACTCTCTTCAGTTGGAGGATATTCTTAAAACAGATTGTTTCCTCCCATTGATCTGTAAACCTCCTGTCAGAAAGGAGCAGTATCCCTTTAGAGCGGTTGTTAAAAGGGGTTGATGTCTGACCAATGTGCTATATTGCTGTTGTGCAAAACTGCTGCATTAACGTATTGTAGAGGGTAAATGGCAAGGACTTATTCAGAGTAATGTGGTTTTATTTTATCCTCATGTTCACCACAGTATCTCTTGCTCTCTTAGTTTGAGGGTTAAAGGTACTTCTTGTTGGAGAAATAAGAAGTGAGCTGATGAAGAGAGAATAAAACCTGGTAGATTGCTGTCTGTGGACCTTAATCCTGTTTGGAAGCCCTAACTTAACTCTGAAGGGGATACTGTCTCTTTTACTCTTGCTATAATTCTTTGTATGGAAGGTAGATAATGCTGATAACATTGCCTGATTTCTCTGCATATATTACATTTAACCCTTTGAGCCGTTGCTGCATATAATTTCAACTAGGCTGCTTTTTCCCCCGACTAAATTTAATCTGTGGCACTGAAGCATCTTGACGTGCAGTCATTAAAATCATATGGTTTTATTGGCAGCAAGAGCTGACCCTCATCTGTGACATTTTCAAAGGGTTAGCAAGACTTCTGTAGCTACCTACCTACCTACCTGTAAAGTAGCTCTTCTTTGACATTGAAAACCTTTGTATTTTAATTAGCGCCCTTTTTTTGGCTGCTTTTCTGATGTCTTTTTTTCAATTTAGACATTTTCTGTGTGAATGTGCCTTCGAATTTGCTTTAGTATATTCCTCTGCAAACACTGATCTGCATGCTTATTCTGATGACTTCTTTTCCAGCTCTTCTGTATCACTCTCTTTTGTGATCTGTAAGTCTTGTGTTAATAAATAATTCTTTGGCATATTTTGAAAGTGTGGGGATGTGTGTAATTTGTACTTTTTCAGGGTTAGACCAAAGAAATACCTGACTGGTACCAAGTTTAAAGCAATAGTAGCCTGAGACTGGAGGGTTTTCCCCTTTAGTTTTGTTTCGTCAAACACCTGTCTTCTAAGAAAGTATTGGTACATTTTAGCCTTTGTTTCTTATAATTCCATTAATGTAAGTTTTTAACATGGCATTGCATTGAAATATAACTTCAGACTTAAATAAGAGTAAACCTTACACTACTTTACATGATAGGGAGAAAGAACATTTGTTGCAGTTTCTTCTCTTGAAATATTTTATTGTAGAGAATCTGTCTTTACTAGGCATGACATTGAAGAGAAGGGGAAGGTGAGGAAAAAGACCTAAGAGTTGAGTGTTGTGGAAAGAGTTAACTATAACTACCTAGTTATCCATAACTATCTAGTTATCTGTAACTAACTGCATAGTTCAAGCTACTACGTAGTTATACATAACTAGATAGTTATAAACTTAATTTAAAATAAATCAAATAATATTGAAATGGACTTCTGAGCACAGTAAATGTAAACTGTATTTAAAGTGATAATCTGCATAATAGAAAGTGGTCTGTATTAATAGCAGGAAGTCTTCAGGATGGAATTTGATTTGAGTTTGAAATTGGATACTCAGCCGGGCGCGGTGGCTCACGCCTATAATCCCAGCACTTTGGGAGGCCAAGGTGGGTGGACTGCTTGAGGCTGGTAGTTCATGACCAGCCTGGGCAACATGGTGAAACCCCATCTTTACCAAAAAATACAAAAATTAGTCGGACATTGTGGTGTGCACCTGTAGTCCCAGCTACTCAGGAGGTGAGGATCAGTTGATCCTGGGAGGTTGAGGCTATAGTGAGCTGTGATCACATTACTGCACTCCAGCCTGGGTGACAGAGCAAGACCCTGTCTCAAAGAAAGAAAAATTGGGTACTCCATCCTCTAATTACAGAGCATGTTAGATTTGCAGTTATGTATTCTGTATGATGAAGCAACCCTCAGTCTTTTTTTTTTCTTTTCTCATAGTACATAAAGCAAATTCTTAAAACAAGTTTGGGGGGTGCGTCTAAGAAAGTAAGGGTCGAACCATTCTTATTTTTAAGAAAACAATTTCTAGAAGGACCAATGAAATGTAGCAACAAGCGTAGGTCAAACATGGAAAATATTTTCTCCATTTTAGAGTATGGTAACAGTAAAAAACCTTGAGAATATTACTGTGTTTCAGGTTAGAAACCCAAAACCAATAAAATCCCTGGGAAAATGGGATATTTCCATGGTTTATATTTTGTATTCTTATGTTTTGAGGCTTTAATTCTTTGTTCTTTTTTAGAATTTGAGGAAGGAAGGAAATTAAATCACTGAAGATGAAGACTTTTTTTTTTTTTTTTGAGATGGAGTTTCATTCTTGTTGCCCAGGCTGGAGTGCAATGGCACGATCTCGGCTCAGTGCAACCTCTGCCACCCAGGTTCAAGTGATTCTCCTGCCTCAGCCTCCTGAGTAGCTGGGATTACAGGCACATGCCCAACACACCCAGCTAATTTTGTATTTTTAGTAGAGACGGGGATTTCTTCATGTTGGTCAGGCTGGTCTCGAACTCCTGACCTCAGGTAATCCGCCTGCCTTGGCCTCCCAAAGTGCTGGGATTACAGGCGTGAGCCACCGCGCCTGTTTGTTTTGTTTTGTTTTGTTTTTTAAGACAGAGTTTCCCTCTCGCCCAGTCTGGAGTGCAATGGCGTGATCTTGGATCTCAGCTCACTGCAACCTCTGCCTCCCAGGTTTAAGTGACTCACCTGCCTCAGCCTCCCAAGTAACTGGGATTACAGGTGGCTGCCGCCACTCCCAGCTAATTTTTATATTTTTAGTAGAGATGGGGTTTCACCATGTTGGCCAGGCTGGTCTCAAACTCCTGACCTCAGGTGATCGATCCACTTGCCTCGACCTCCCAAAGTAGTGGAATTACAGGTGTGAGCTACTGCACCTAGCCTAGAAGAAGATGAGGATTTTGAATAGGATTCCTAAGAGATCACTTGTAGTGTCTTAAATATGCCATTTAAGAAAGAAAAAAAGTTGTATTTAGAGGTTTAGAATAACTCTGAGAAAAGCCAGGCCTGCCATTCAACGTACAGCATTGTCCAGAGCATACTGCTTTAAAAAGTTGAATAATACTTCGTTTCAAAAACTTTGTATAAATGCATTGTATTTTATTTATGATATGTGCTGCTAACACATTTGAAAGAAAGAGATCTTACTGTAGCTTCCATTTAGTGATAATGCTAGCTGCCCTTTATTTTGGATTTTCCCATGCTATTTATAAGACCAATCTCTTGATGGCTTTGGCTGAGGAATTTCTTTGTCAATGGAATT